TCGGCTATTTTATCATTCTTATTTACAATGTTCACCGAGTACTTTTCTTTGTGTAAGGTATTTTGCCAGAGAGTTGTTAAAGGTGGATATTGAGCAGCTCATATGTAAAGGTGATAAAACCTGTGTCAGTTCGTAGACTTCCCTTTCGTCAAGATCACACTGAGGACAGTTTTTCTTCTCCCTTCTTTTGAACGGTAGGTACTGAACCCGATAGAATTCTTTGCCTAGATCCTTCAAAGTACACAGATCTCTCAAAACAGTCCTTCGAGAAGTGTTCGGAGTAGATCACAAATATTCCGGCAGGATTGAAGTTTACTCAGCGATTTCACACAAATCGCATCCATTTTTCCTGCTCTGATCTATTGCGAGGCTCCAATGCAGAGAAATACCTGCAGTATGGTCTGCACGATTATTTCAGCTTCGAATTACGCATCGATGCCTTCTCATTTTTGTTTAGTTTTTGTAAGAATAGAGTAATGCACTGTGTTATGATTGCTTGACATTTTGCCATGTGAGATTTTCGTTTTCAGCCTTTAACGTCACTTCCTCTGAATCCTGCGATCAACTTCCGGAACATGGTCAAAGAATAGTGGACATGAAATTGTGAATTAAGAGTCTGAAAAAAGATATTTCTGGTGCTCGGTCTAAACTGAAATTTGGCAGAGTAGGTGAAGGAGACACACTGAACACGAAAATGAAAAAAAATGTACGAAAATTTTGATCTCAGGGGCACTTTAACATTTTGACTGTGGCTCACATGCCTCACATGCTTTGCATTGCTTACATGACATGCATGGCTCACCCCTTAGCTGGCATGGCTCGCAGGTATATAACTCTCTGATGGAAATGTCCTTGATCTAACACTAGAAAATTAATGTTATGTTCCACTCTTTGCAATTCCTCCCTCTTCTATTGCTCTGTCAAAGGTTATGTTTTAATTGATTTACAAATTAGAGACAAGTTTCATTTCATTGCCAAAAGTCCATTATTACACTCAGGTGTCTATGGACATCCACTTATAAGAGAGAGGAAACTAAAAAAAACTGCCATTTTCAATGGAAAAAAAGTCTGCCTCTGCACACTTACAACAGTATACCCACCTACAGGAGTGTGTAAATATGTACCTTAACAGGCAGAAACACAGAAAATTGTTTGACAGCATGTATGTGCACTTACAGGAGTGTGTAAATAAGGAGTTTGACAGGCAGCAACACAGTAAATTGCATAATAGACAGTATGTGCACTTACAGGAGTGTGTAAATATGGAGTTTGACAGGCGGCAACACAGTGAATTGTATAACAGACAGTATGTCGTGAATGTCC